TCCACTGGCGGTGCTCAGGGTGAGCGCACACCTACATTGGAATGGACATGAGCAAGCACTCAAAGAAGAACTAAGCTATGCAAACTAACCCTGAACAAACAGCTATAGAAAACTGTACACAAGATAGCCAAGGCACACTCAAGGTAGACAGGCTAAGGCTCTGTCTCCTGCTGAGGCGGTTGAGAAGGAACTGAGTACAAATCACCCCCACATCCCTATGTAGCCTCAGTGTGCAGCATGAGGACGCATGCATGGGCCAAATGGACAATGCTAAAGGAAAATCTCTGATCAAGGGCTCGAGAGGGCCATACATACCTGAAGTGGAGCACCCATCGGGGAAGGTGCATACTTGAAGAACATTGCAAAGTCAGCTGCATTTATTGCGTGGTAGAAAATGGGACTGGTTTCTGAGAGAGGCTTCCCAGAGAAGCTTTGTGATCAGTTCTATACTTCAGTTATAGGTCCTAATCATAAGAGGAGTAAGGTTCTGGAACAGCCTCCCAATAGGAGTTGTGAGAGCAAACAATTGGTTTTAAGAGACAGCTAGAGAAATTTATGAGTGGGACTGTGTGATGAGGTTGCTTGCCATCGGAGGGAGGTGGGGGCAGGACATGGCAGCCCTGGGAGTTGCTACTAAAATCTCATGCTTTGGGGCTTCAGCTCGTCACCTACAGAGGTAGGAAGGAATTTCCTTCCTTCCTCTCTGTGTATTCTGGGTGGGTTTTGAGGGTGGTTTTTTTGTGTGCGTGTCCTTTCTCTAAAGCATCTGAGATGGCCATACCTGGAGATGGGACACTGGATGGGATGGGTCAGTGCTCTGGGATGGCAGTGAACTTTCTCTCATCTGCTTGGCTGGCTGATGCATCTCAGTCCCTCCTGCTCCCTGCCTGTGGCACACCATAGCTCAGTATCCTGAAGATGATAATACTTTGGTCTAGTTTCAGTTGCTGGGTTTAGTTGCTGGGTACAGTTGGTGGCCTGTGATACACAGGAGGTCAGACTAAATGATCCGGTGGTCCCTGCTGGCCTTGAACTATGATTCTATGACCTGCCTTTACATGGCATTTTTTCTGTGACATCATGTAGTATCTGCTCACTAGAGCACAAAGAACATCTTCAGTTTCAACATGTGAATTTATGCTAAACTATGGCCCTGTTTCTGTAATACAAGGCAGCCACCTTGACTGCGAGTGCAAAACATAGCTGGCATATCTGACTAGGGGATGGCACCCCTGGTATAGCTGGACCTTCCAATAGCCTAAAGCCAGCATGGCCACTTTATATGGCACTGATATACAGTCTGTGGAAGGCATAGAGAGCTTGGTCAGGGAAAAGGGAGCATGTCTGGGGTATCAGTGGAACCTCACCAATTCTCAGCTGGAATAATAGACCCTTGATGTATTACATAGATGCAGCTGCATTTGTGTCGTATAGGCAGATTTGAATCTATGTATACTTTTTGTTTTTGATTAAATAATTAGCTTATTTTCTGACCTGTAATTTTGAAATGGGAGTTTTTAGACAAACTAATGAATACAGACCAAGGCCCCAGTTCAGGAAAAAAACCCACAGAAAACACCCCAATGTGTGCATGTGTTTACGTTTGTAGTTCCATTGATTTCAATTTCTAATGTATAGGCATACCAGTTGTACTACTCAGAGTCAGAATCATAGAGTTTAAGGCCAGAAGGGACCACCAGATCATCTAGTCTGACTTCCTGTATATCGCAGGCCACCAATACCACCCATCACCCATACACTAAATGCAACAACTGAAATTAGACAACATATTACAGCCCACAGGAGACTGCCTGAGGCCTCTGCTTAATATTGTCCATTTTATTAATTTACAAATTGTTTCTAGACTATTATATTACTACTTCTCCCCTCTATCACATTTAATTTTTACTCCATTTTATCAACATAAGAACGGTCATACTGGGTCAGACCAATGGTCCACCTAGCCCGGTATACTTTCTTCCAATAGTGGCCAATCCCAGAGGATTCAAAGAGAATGAACAGGACAGGGCAATCATCAAGTGATCCATTCCATCATCCAGTCCCAGCATACGATGGTCAGAAGGCTAGGGACACCAAGAGCAATGGGTTGCATCCCTGACCATCTTGGCTAAAAGCCATTGATGGACCTATCCTCCATGAACTTATCTACCGGTAATTCTTTTTTGAACCTAGTTATAATTTTGGTCCTCAGAACATCCCTGACAACGAGTTCCACAGGTTGACTATGCATTGTGTGAAGAAGTACTTCCTTCAAAACAAACAGATACCCCATTTATATACCAAGTTCTTAGTTTGTACCTTTGAGATTATAGAAGTATCGCCACACTAGCTTGTCTGGAGACTGCACATAGCTGGCATTCTGAACAAGCTCTACTAAGTTTGGTGGAAGGTTAATGGCTTGATCTTCTGTTTGTTTCTTGAATGTTCTAATAAAATTCACTCCACCTTGAGGCTAAAATACACACAATAAAAATGTTATGTTAGCAAATGCATGAAGCAAACAGGGAAAGTAGAGCTGCTTGATCAAGTAATGTGCTTTTCATCTTTAAGACATACTGAAAGTCTGATCTGATAACACTTGCTGCCATGCATTATCCCATATAATTCCTAGCGCTATAAATATTTTAACTTGATTTTATACTTTGTTCAAATCCTAAAGAGATTTGAAACTGAAACAAAATGTAAGTCCTCTCTCACCTGGGTAGATGCTACAAATTGTTTGCATCCTCACTATAGAATGCACAGTTTCCACCATGAGAACCTGCAGATCCCCTGGATCCAGCAGATACTATGAGCCTATGTGCTGGCTCCAAAATAGCAGTGGCTTCAGGGACTCTTGCCCCACTGTGACAAGGACTAGTTCTAAGGATATGAGAGGACACTGCTATTCTGGGAGCATACAAATCCTTCCAGCCGGAGACAGGAGATCCTCCAAAAATTCATAAGGTGCATGGTTTGGCCATTTTTGATTACTTTCAGCAAGACAGAGATGTATATGCTACTGTTCAAACCTTTAATGATCTTGCTGCTATGTCTTCTGGTGTAGAGAAAAACACATCATCAACATCCAAGGTTTGAAGTTCTTCATGTGTTGTAAAAAACAGCAGGAACAAACAGTCATCTTCGCCCACATTCTTTACCCAATGCAATGTGTTTTTAGGGAAGAAAATCACTTGGCCTGCGGTAACATTGTATGTGGTTACTATGCTACCACCAGCATCAACAACACCAATCCAGGCACTACCCTGAAACACAGGCAGAGCGACAGAACACAGTCATGAAAGAAACAAACAAACATTGTTTTTTCCATAGTGAGCACATAAATTGTATTTGCCTACATTTTAATAATTCAAAAATACATGTGACTGATAGTAGCCCATTCTGGTGACAGTCCCACTCTTATTCAGGTTTTGAGAGACCAAAGCAAGAATAGTGCATTCAGCAATAAATTGTTGGAAGGCCCAATTACTTTAAGAAACACTTGATAATTTTTTTCTTCAATCTCTCTCTCTCTCTCACACACACACACACAAAACATTAAGTTGTTTAAACAAAGTTATGAATGTTATGATTATAGTTTAAGAAGATTCAAACTACTGGGGATAAGGATCATGTGTCTGTGAAATGTCTTGTACAATTGCTCCCCAATCCTGACTGGGGCCTGTAAGTGCTACTATGGTATAAATATTAAATACTTAATAATAAAAGTATTGTTAGTATTCTAAGTATAGCCAAGAGTCAATTATTCAAAATACATAATGCTTTGTTTTCAAAATTATGTACAATCTCTAATTATTCCTCACAATACCCCATGAGTTAGTACTTTAAGTAACTTTTACTATTCCCAATTTACAGATGGAGAAATGGATAGTCAGAGGAGATAAGACAAACACTTTCAAATTTGGGTGCCTAATATTAAGCACCTAATTCATGTGCAGGCACCCAGATAAGTAGCTGAATTTTTAAAAGTGCAGAGTACACAAAATTTCCACTGACTGCAACTATTACACTTTGGTTGGAGCTGTAAGTATATAGCATGTCTGCAAATCACGCCATTTAAGAGCATAATTTCAGGCATCAAGGTTTGAAAATGTGACACACGTTAACTAGTGATAATGCCGTCATTATTATTATTTAGCATTTCTGTATAAGGCCATAGGTTGGCATGATGCTTTACTCCAAAAATTACAACAGCTGAAATTAAAATAATCAGATTGTACCTTTAGGAGAAAGCCATGTTCATTGGCATTAAAGTGCCAATGGGGGGCCCGGAGCCCTTTGCTCTTGATCCGTAATGTTCCAAAAGTCATCTTAGATCGCTGATTGTTGATGCTTGTTCCAAATTCCATTTCTTCATCACTCGGATAATCCTTTACATCATACCTAAATCTTGCCCATTGAATATCACCCCCAGGAAACTGAAATACCTAGCAAATCATAGACATAAGTTATTCTTTATAAGTATTGGACAAAGGCAAGGCCAGTGGGGAAATGAAGGGAAAATATTGAGGGAATATTTCAGAACATTACTTTATATGTAGATATGAAATTTGTGGAAAACATAGTGAATTTTTGGTGAGGCTTCTCTCTCTATGCGTTTACTACACTTTTGATGATCCCACACATACCTTTATACATCAAATTGCTATAATATAATTTTTTTTTACAATGATTGATAAGGAATGGTTTTAAGGACAAAACTTTCAGAAAAATTAGTGGCTAAGAATCGCTTTATAGGTACATCAAACAAAAAAAGTGGAAGACCTGGGGTGAAATCTTAGCCCTACTGAAGTCAATGGAAGAACACCCACTGACTTTAGTAGGGCCAGAGTCAATCAGTGTGTATCTGCTATCAAAAACTAAACAAATATAAGGCTGACATGGCTATCATCACCTTGACCACACTACTTTTATGCTGTACTCCCTTCCCCCTTCTCTTTCTTTGTCTTTTTAGACACTGATTCAGGAAAGCACTTAAGTACATGCTTACAATTAAGCACATGTGTAAGTACCCTTCCTAAATAGAATGTTTTCCTGAAGCAGGGTCTTAGATTGTAAACTCTTTGTGCTAGGGACTGTTCCTTCCCATTTATTTGTACTCTATCTAGAATAAATCCAGCAATTTTAAAAAGTCACCTTACATTAGGGAAGTGTATTACAGGACACTGTAATCTTGAAAACCACATTTTTTGTATGTTTGCACCTCCTATAGTTACATCTAATGCCTAACAATATCAGAACTGGAAGAAATTAGAAAAAGGCAATGTTTTTGCAATTTTTTTAGTTCCTTTAATTTGTATATTTGACAGCACTGTATATCAGTTTAACTGTCCACTGTCTAATCAATCATCTTCTCCTTTGCGGGGAAACCCTTAAACATGAACCCGGGATCAGAAAAATCCATATAAATATACTTTTTAAGGATTTAAAAAAAGAGTCAGAACATACACTTTAACATCTGGCTCTATGAAAACTGGAGTTCTAAAATTGGTCAATTTTTAAAAATTCAATAAGTTTTGAAATACAGAGACTAAACTCTGAAGTAATCTAACTGTTTAGTTTGTACATGAACTGCAATGCTATAAGTCCAGCAAGGTGAGTGAGGCTACTACTGCCTAAAATGAGACCATCACATTCATTTTTATTTGTGACCAAAGAATACATTTTAGCTCGGTTCTCAAGACTTCCAGTTTCAACTAAACGGCTTCTATTTGTATTCAAGCTTTCTGAAAATGTTTCACATTGTGTAATTTCACTGCTAGATTTCAAAAGCTGACTTCCTTTTAAAACTCTGTAATTTTGGTTATTTAGACATCTAATTTGTAGGTGCAAATAATGATATGTCCAAAAGATGTAGATTGCATTTTGGATTATTTATGAATCATTATCTCTTTGTGCCTGCAATTCTGTGGGCAGAAAAGGAGAGAACCACAACAAAAAACAAAAAAACAGGCAGTCTGAAAATTTGCCCCTAAACAATAATATTGTTTAGGGAAGAAGAACAACTGCTACCTTAGATTTACCCAGATGATTCAGAAACTGGAATTTGACATCTACTCTTTTTTTGTCTGACATTGTTATTGGTGTTTTTGGAGAGGTTATTTCATGCTTTTGACTGTTTAGCTGTGTCAGAAATCCAATGTTTTTAATGTAGACCGAGGAAATAATCAGCACTCCTATGATGGTGGAGATGAAGCAGGCCAAGAGACAAACTAGAAAGATGTTCATTAGCGACCAGTGGCTCTTTCTTTCCTACAAGACATTTTAAAAAACAAAGTTATTAGTTAGCAATCAGAACAACAGTTAATGCAATGGTACCTGTGTAATCAAGACTGGATACCTTTCCTGAAGATATGCTTTTGTCAGACAAGTTAGTGGGCCCAGTATAGGAATAACTTCATGAAAATTTTTTGGCCTCTGTTATGGTCCGACTAGATGCTCTAATGGCCCCTTCACACACTTCACACAAGGGGGCTGATACCACAGACTTTATTCATGAGTTACACATGTATTCTCTCTATCTATCTATCTAGGAGTTTTCTTTAGTGCCCCTCAATGTGCAGAATAGAGCCTAGATCTCCCTTGGAATATCAATACAAGCTGCTAATTTTCACAAGAAAGTGAGATAATAAAGAAAAGCAAAAGAGCTACTGAAATTTTCACCAGTTTTACGGATTAAGCTACAAACTGCAACAAGACAGAGCATCCTTTATACATTAAGCATGGGTTGTTGTTTTTTAACTATTTAAAGGGATGATGAGATGAGATATGTTTTGTATAGTTACTTTTTTAATCCTTTGGGAAAATGTAAAGTCCTCAGTGTATTTTAACCTGGTTAGATCCTTAATGGTCACTTTTCAAATTGTACTGTTTAAGCTTTCAAACCACTGCTGCTTAAACTTCTGCTGCCCTTAACAATATAAGATAACCAACATTTTTTTAAACTTTGTCCACCCTACTCAAAACTGGAAGAGGTTAAGGTGGTCAGGTAGGCCCATTAACTGCCCAGGCTTCACCTGGAGAGGTGACAGGGAGCAGGGAATTGATAAGGAGGCTCTGCTGCTGGACAGGAACTGGAGGGGCCTGTATAAAGCACAGGTGCTAAGAGAAGAAAAGGGCTGCAGGAGAGTTGTCAGCAATCACTCCCTGGGAGAAGGGAGGTGTGCTTTAGGCTATGGAGATAGGGTGACCAGGTGTCCGGTCTTCAACCAGAACAACCCAGTCAAAAAGGGCCCTGGCAGCTCCGGTCAGCACCGCCAACCATGCTATTAAAAGTCCGGTTGGTGGTGCTGACAGTTTCAAGCGGATTGCCCCAAGGGTCGGTCCTGGGGCCGGTTTTGTTTAATAATGATCTGGAGGATGGTGTGGACTGCACTCTCAGCAAGTTTGCAGATGACACTAAACTGGGAGGCGCAGTAGATACACTGGAGGGTAGGGATCGGATACAGAGGGACCTAGACAAATTAGAGGATTGGGCCAAAAAAAACCTGATGAGGTTCAACAAGGACAAGTGCAGAGTCCTGCACTTAGGATGGAAGAATCCTATGCACTACTACAGACTAGGGACCGAATGGCTAGGTAGCAGTTCTGCAGACAAGGACCTAGGGGTCACAGTGGATGAGAAGCTGGATATGAGTCAACAGTGTGCTCTTGTTGCCAAGAAGGCTAACGGCATTTTGGGCTGTATAAGTAGGGGCATTGCCAGCAGATCGAGGAACGTGATCGTTCCCCTTTATTCGACATTGGTGAGGGCTCATCTGGAGTACTGTGTCCAGTTTTGGGCCCCCCACTACAAGAAGGATGTGGAAAAATTGGAAAGAGTCCAGCAGAGGGCAACAAAAATGATTAAGGGTCTGGAGCACATGACATATGAGGAGAGGTTGAGGGAACTGGGATTGTTTAGTCTCCAGAAGAGAAGAATGAGGGGGGATTTGATAGCTGCTTTCAACTACCTGAAGGGGGGTTCCAAAGAGGATGGAGCTCGGCTGTTCTCAGAAAGATGACAGAACAAGGAGCAATGGTCTCAAGTTGCAGTGGGGGAGGTCTAGGTTGGATATTAGGAAACACTATTTCACTAGGAGGGTGGTGAAGTACTGGAATGCGTTACCTAGGGAAGTGGTGGAATCTCCTTCCTTGGAGGTTTTTAAGGTCCGACTTGACAAAGCCCTGGCTGGAGTGATTTAGTTGGGAATTGATCCTGCTTTGAGCAGGGGGTTGGACTAGATGACCTCCTGAGGTCCCTTCCAACCCTGATATTCTATGATTCTATGAACTTCAATATAGAAATGAATTTAGTTAAATCATTTGAATTTGTGTGTAAACTAGCCCTAAGCCTTCTGCTATCACATCTTTGCTAAGTGAAGCGAGGCCATGGTGATTTCTTGAGTGAGTATTATGTTTGCCAATTAGCAAAGTGAAAATTAGGAAGATTTTATTTTATTTAACTCTTTATAGTATATTTGTGTACATAATTTTGCTATACCATGAAACAAGATGTTAAGCCCCAACCCTGATTCTTATTTGATAAAGTTCTAAATAATTGCAAAAGAGAAACTTACCGGTACCTCTTGCTTTGTCTGTTCTTTCATATTTGAGGAACTCTGTATTTTCTCTTCTTGCATTTCAAATCCTGGGTTCTCCATTTAAAGAAACTGGAACAGACTTTTGTAAAAAAAAAATCTGATTGAAAAATAATGTTAATTCTAATTTGTGCTCAGTACTTCTAGAGCTGCAGCACCAAGAAACAACTAATTTTAATGTTGCATAGAAATAGTAACGACACTTAGAATGATCTTATGTATAAACTGGTTGCAGTTCAGGAAGTCTCCTTTTCTAAACTGTCACAGGAAAGTTCTGCCTATTTCCAAATTCAGGATTGAAGTTACTCAATTCATTTCTGCATTACACAAAATCTGTGAGATGACAAGACAGTAAGACAGACAGGTTCTGTTAACTGAAGACTGTGGGGAACTCACAGTGGACAGCTCAAGCAGTAACAGCAGCATCATGGTGAGCTGGGAAGCAGTGCAAAGGCAACAAATGGTCCGCTCCTTTCCCTGTGAAGAGCAGCTTCCCCCTACTATGAGAGTCATTCCCATGATAATGATGGACGAAATATTTTGGGTAAGGACACAGTAATGAAAACAAAAGAAAAACAGTGAACAACTGTACTAGAGCACAATAAAAAATTGTCTCAATTTTCAGACACAGGCATCTGTTGGATAACAATAAAGATATTCCTGAATCATTACTATTACTTACATTGAGAAAGAAAAACTGACAGAACGATAACAAGTGGCAATGATGGCCCCGAGAAAAAAAAAAACAGTTACCTACCTCTTGTAACTGTTGTTTTTCAAGATGTGCTGCTCATGTTCATTCCAAGTAGGTGTGTGCGCACCGCATGCACAGTCATCAGAAGGTTTTTCCCCTAGTAATACCCGTCAGGTTGGCTATGGAGCCCTCGGGAGTTGCGCCTTCATGGCAGTGTATGTAGGTCCCTGTTGACCCACCACCTCTTCAGTTCCTTTTTGTTGGATACTCAGAGTGGGAGGTGGGTGGGTCTTGGAATGGACATGAGCAACACATCTCAAACAACAGTTACAAGAGGTAGGTAACTGTTCTTTGAGTGTTTGCTTGTGTCGATTCCAAGTAGATGACTCCCAAACCTAACCTAGGAGGTGGGGTTGGAGTTCATAGAATCGCTGTTTGTAGCACCACTCTGCCGAATGCTGCATCGTCTCTGGCCTGCTGTAAAATGGTGCAGTGCAATGAAAAGGTGTGGATCAACGGCCATGTCACTGCCCTGCAGATGTCTTGAATAGGAACTGGTGCCAGGAATGCAGCTGAGGATGCCTGCGCCCTTGTGGAGTGTGACGTCAGCGCAGGGGCAGGAATCTTTGCCAAGTCATAACACACCCGAATACAGGACGTGATCCAAGAAGTGATCCTTTGGGACGAGATGGAAGCCTCTTCATCCGCTCCGCAATTGCAATGAAGAGTTGCATTGATTTTCTAAATGGCTTCATTCTTTCAATGTAGAAGGCTAATGCTCGTCTCACATCCAGGGAGTGAAGCATTCGTTCCCTGTTGCTCGCATGCGGCTTAGGAAAGAACACTGGGAGAAAAATGTCCTGGTTTGCATGGAATTGCGAAACCTTTGGGAGAAAGACAGGGTGTAGTCGCAACTGCACCTTGTCCTTATAGAAGACCTTATATGGGGGCTCCAAAGTTAAGGCCTTAAGCTCAGACACTCTCCTGGCTGAAGTTATAGCCACCAAGAATGCTACTTTCCAGGAAAGGTAGAGGAGGAAGCATGTTGCTAAAGGCTTGAAAAGAGGTCCCATCAGTCTGGAGAGCACCAGGTTGAGATCCCATGGGAAAATTGCCTGTCTTACTTAAAAGTACAGTCTCTCTAGGCCTTTGAGGCAGTGGCCCACCATAGGATTTGCAAAAACAGAGCAACAAGCTGCACCGGCATGGAAAGCTGAGATAGCGGCCAGCGGCACCTTTACTGATGATACTGACAGACTTTACTGTTTCAGATGCAGCAAACAGTCCAGGATAAAGGGAATCGATGCCTGTAAGGGTTGAGCGTCTTTTTGTGATGTCCAAATAGAGAAACTTTTCCACTTGGCCAAATAAGTGGCCCTGGTGAATGGCTTTCTGCTACCAAGGAGGATCTCTCTAACAGGGTCTAAGCATATGAGCTCTGAAGGGTTTAGCCACAGAGTTTCCATGCCATGAAATGGAGAGACTGCAGATTGGGATGCTGGAGGTGGCTGTGGTCCTGCGTGATCAAGTCCAGGACCAGGGGCAGGGTTATTGGTGTGTCCACCAGCACATCTAGAGGGTGATGAATCAGTGTTGGCATGGCCACGCTGGTGCTATTAAGATCATGGATGCTCGCTCCTTTCTGAACTTCACAAGGACCTTGTGTATAAGCGGGAAGTGCAGGAATGCATATAGTAGATGATCCTTTCAAGGGAGGAGAAAAATGTCAGAGTGAGCCCAGGCTGTGATTCAGGAAGGACCAAAACTGGTGACACTTCCTGTTGTATTTTGTTACAAAGAAATCTATTTGGGGAAACCCCCACCATTGGAAGATGTTGATCACAACATCCGGGCAGAGGGACCACTCGTGATTCTGAAATGACCTGCTGAGATGATCGGCCAGTTCGTTCTGGGAACCTGGAAGGTACAATGCCTCTAGATGTATCAAATGGGTGATGCAGAAGTCCCACAGCTTGAGGACTTCCTGGCAGAGGTGAGAGGAGCGAGCACCACAGTCTGTTTATATAGAACATCGCTGTTGTGTTGTCGGTCAACACTGATACACACTGATACCAGATGGTCCTGGAATGTTTGGCAAGCAAGGCGGGCCACTCTTAGCTTCCTGACATTGATGTGCAACAAAAGTTCTGCCTGGGACCAGAGGCCCTGAGTCCTCCTAAGTGTGCCCCCCCATCCCATTGCTGACGCGTCTGTGACTAGAGACATTGAGGGGTGGGGTCTGCACACACCACTTGCCGGTTGAGCCACCACAGGAGGGACTAAATAACCGGAGGAGGAAATGTAATTAACTTGTCTAGTTGGTCTCAGGATGGCCTGTAAACTGAGGCCAACCAGGCCTGAAGAGGCTGGAGACAAAGTCTCGTGTGTTGTACTACATACGTACAAGCAGCCATGTGACCAAGCAGCCTCAGGCCCTAGGGTATCGCCTTAGGTCCTCTATGATGGCACCCATAGTTAGAAAATGGGACTTCAGAAGGAATGCTTTGGCTTGACTGGAGTCTAGGAGAGCGCCGATTAACTTTATCCTCTGGGTAAGGGTTAGAGTTGATTTCGGCACATTCAGCATTAGCCTGAGCTCTTTGAAAGTCAATCATATGAGGTTCACGTGCTGTTACACCTGGGATTTGGTACAGCCCTTGACAAGTCAGTCGTCTTGGGAAAACTTTTACCAGTCAGCTCCTCAGGTATGCATTTGGTGAACACCCGAGGGGCCGCTGATAGCCCAAAGAGGAGAACCGTGAACTGATAATGGGTGTTGTTGTTGACCCCGAAGTGAAGGAATCGTCTTTGAGACGGCACAATTGACACGTGGAAGCATGCATCTTTCAAGTCGAAGGTGGCGTACCAGTCCCCCGGATCCAGGGAGGGAATAATAGAAGCCAGAGAAATCATGTGGAACTTCAGCTTTTTCACGAATTTGTTGAGGTTCTGCAGGTCCAAAACGGGTCTTAGCCCACCTTTGTCTTTTGGGATTAGGCAATATTGAGAATAGAAACCCTTGCCCCAGAACTCCTGAGGGACCTCCTCTACTGCTTCGATGTCTAGGAGCACTTGCACTTTCTGTATGAGAAGTTGCTTGTGAGAAGGGTCCCTGAAGAGGGGTACGGGGTAGGGGGGTGGGAGGGAGGAAGGGAACAGAATTGGAGAGAATATCCCAATTCTACCATGTGCAAGACCCACTGGTCTGAGGTGATCTGGGTCCAGGCCTGGCAGAAATGGGATAGATGATTCACAAAACAGGGAGAAGGATACAGGATTGCAGCTCATGCATCGCCCCTAGGCACACCTTCAAAAGTTTTGCTTGGGAGCTGAAGACTGCCTCGCCGAGCTCTGGCCCCGGTTGGAAGAGGGCTGTGGAGGCCTTCGCCTATTACTCATACCCTGGTTCCTACTATAATCTTGTCTTGACTGAGAGGGGTAAAAGCATGGTATTCTGGATGGTCTTGATCAAGGGTAAGGAACCCTTGAAGGGCCCTCAGGTGTTAGAATGTCCACCATGGGATCCGTTTCTTCTGACACCTCCTCCGCCTGGAGGCCCAGATTTTGTGCTACCCTTCTGAGTAGCTCTTGGTGGGCTCTATTGTCCATGGCTGGCAAAATGGCAGATAAGCCTGCTACTGCCTCGACCAGGGAGGAAGAGGATGATGCCCTTAGCAGCACCGCGTCCTCCTGACCCTCCGACTCAGAGTCCTCCCGCACTGATACCTCCTGCATGGTGGCAGGTACGGTACCAGCCCTGGTCTTGGTCTCAGTGATGGAGGTTCTTGCACCATGGAGCATGACAGGGGCTCCTGCCTGTCTAAGGCGATAGATAGGGATCTGAAGCTTGGCTCCCACCTTGGTGATACACCCACAGGGTCCAGAAAGTCACTTCGTGGGCACCTGCCACTGTGGTGGCCAGGGCATCATGGGAACTTGCTGTCCGTCCTCTTGCCTCGAACAGTGGCAAGAGCAGTGCCGGCTCCATCTGGAGGTGTACGATTCCGGCT